ACCTGAAATATTTCAGTTGGTGTGCAATGAATCTGAAATATATGAAAGTTTCATTTTCATCATTACATTATGGAAAATAATGACTTTTATCACAATATGCTAATTTTTTGAGAAGGACCTGTATACTGGTGATAGTCAAACTTTCCATATCGGTCGGGCTCTAACTAAAACTACTGAAAAATGAAACAGTTTGTTCTTATTAATAAAGTAAGCAGGAAAAATAATCACAAGAGTGAAACTACAGCTAAACAGACTTCAGTTTTCTGACTAACCTGACCTCACTACATCACATGTAGCTTCATCTATAGGAAGCGGTGTCTGAAAAGGGCAGGGAAAATCATAAAAGACTTCAGCCACCCAGCACACAGATTCTTCACCCTCCTGCCCTCTGGGAGGCGCTACAGGAGCCTCCGGACTAAAACCACCAGGTACCGGAACAGCTTCTTCCCCACAGCTGTCACACTCCTGAACTCTGCCTCCTGACATCTGAACAACAACAACGGTCTGTATTCTCATACACACAAAAACAACACATGGACTGTAACACCACCACCTGCACTTTCATCTGTTAGCCCACTACTGTACAAACTGTACACATAATCTACTATCTACTGTTCATAAGTACTCACATACTAATATATATATTTTTTTCTTTTATATAGCTGTTTATACCCCTTCATATTATAACCTGTTCATAGTCTGTACACTCACAACCTGTATATATTTATACCTATAGCATATTCAAAGCAACTTACTGTATATTGTACTATATATATCTACCAATTTATTTTTCTTGCTAAGCACTTCTGGATAGATGCAAACTGCATTTCGTTGCTTTGTACCTGTGACATGTGCAATGACAATAAAGTTGAATTATATTCTATTCTATTCTATTCTATTCTATTCTAACAGGCAGAACAGAAATCCAAAGATCAAACATTTACATGCCACATGCTTCAAATTCTCAATGTATTTGTGTGAGAAGGGATTCCCACAGGGGCAGTCTGGGCTCCAGCAGAGTCCAGTTCCTCACCTCTGCTCTGGTCTCCAGCAGCAGCCTAAAGCCCTCTGCTTTTAAACTGGCATCTCCTGTGTGAAGAATGTCACTCTGAGCCAGGAGGAGAGTGAGCTCTCCATTAGGAGCCTCAGTCACCAGCTGCAGCCTTCCCTCCTTCTCCTCCTCCTCCTCGTCGTCCTCATCTGGGGATTCTTCTTGACGGATGGTGAGGACTGTGGCACAGCTCCTGTCTTCTTCCTCCTCCTCCTCCTCGTCATCAGACTCCTGCCCCCGCTCCTCTCTGTCTGTGTCCCGATCTGTGAAGTTGGACTCGGCGCAGGCTGTGGAGTACCTGCATCACATGACAAACACCGTTCATCCACAAGCTAGGAGCGCTGAGCGCTCAATGTCTTTACCAAATAAAGATAAAACTTAGCTGGTAAAGATAAAACAATTAGAGCAACAAGCTAATATTAGCTAAATAAAAAGCTTAAGGCTAAAATTAACACACAAAAAAGCTAAAAACAAAAATTAGTACAAGTAGAAAACTTAAGCTTAAAAAAGTTTAAAACTAAAACCAGCACAATAGTAGCTGAAAGCTAAAATTAGACAACTGAAAAAAAAACCTTGCAAGACAAGAGTTAAAAGCTACAAAACAGAAGTTTTCTAAAGTTGTTTTATAAAATAGACAAGGCTTTTAAGGAAGTGCATTTCCATAAGAAAAAAAGTTAATTAGTTTAAGAAGTATAAAACTGATAAACACTAGAAGTTGGGATGCATGATATTGGATTTTTGGCCGATATCCGATATGCCAATATGTTAAAACTTATTTGGCCGATAACCAATACCAATATTTTTTTACTAGACCTACTTACAGAGACTACATAGCTTTCTCTGCTGTGGAATTAAAATACTACATTATTCTGCATAGTATTTGTCAGTTTGGCCTGCTACCAAATGAAGATGCCAAAAAGGGGCCAGAAAATGATGTAACACTTCAACTTGGATTATTGGAACTTGGGGCGGCTGTGGCTGAGTGGTTAGAGCAGTCGTCCTCCAATGTGAGAGTTGGGGGTTCGAATCCACCAGCAGTCAAATGTCGAAGTGTCCCTGGGCAAGACACTGAACCCCTCATAGCTTCCGATGTGTGTCCCATCAGTGTATAAATGTGATCTAAAGCACTGATTAGTCTCTTCAGAATGATTTGTTCAAATAGCTTTGTAGAGATCTAGTAGAGTGCTGTATGAATGGGTAAATGAGGCACAGATTGTAGTACAAAGTGCTTTGAGTATCTTGAAATAAGATAGAAAGGCACTATATAAGTACAGTCCATTTACCATTATCTTTAATGTCAAATTTATTCATGAAATAGGTAGGCGCACATGACGTCAAAGTTGTCCTGGTGCTGCAGGCATCCTTGTCAATGGGTTGTCATAATATATATATATATATATATATATATATATATATATATATATATAAACAGCACCTTTTATATCGGTGAGTCATTCTGATGGAATGACCAATGTCCGATATTTCACTTTATCACTAATATTGGCTGATATCGATACCGATAAGATTGTGTATCCCTAACTAGAAGTGATAAGATTGTGTATCCCTAACTAGAAGTTATAGCTGAAAGGGCTGAAAGTGTGCAGAAGTAGTTGCCATCCAAAAACACATGAAAAACTATGAACAGAAAAATTAAAGTGAGAGCTAACTTAGCATAATGTCTGTACAACAGACTGAAATACAGCAAAGTAATTAACCGTGGCAGCCATCTTGAGTTGGATTGACTCCAAAAGTTAGTCAGTTGTAGATGTTCATCTAATGATTGGTTTCATTAAAAACCATCCGGTGGTTGACAGTTGGGGTCAACATACAATAATTTTAAAGGGACAGTACAAACAATCCTTATTTCTCCTCTGGGAACCCTGCCTGGTATGAAATAACAGCGTTTCTATGTAAACCTTTTATTCGTGCCAATAATCCTCAGTCCCCTTCTCTTTTCTTTATACCTGCTGCCAATAGGTGCTATTTTCCGCAAACACAACATACCCTTTCATTTCTACGCCGATGACTGTCCAATTTATTTCTCCCTGAGGCACAGAGGCACATGCTCTATTCAACCTCTTCTTGACTGCCTGGCTGACATCCGGGACTGGATGGCTTTAAACTTCTTAAGTTTCAATGAGAAGAAGTCTAAAGTCATGTTGTTCCATTCCAATGGCATGTTCATGAACCACTGCATCGACCTTTCCTCTCTAGCTCCGTTAGAGAAACAAAGAATTACTAATCTGAGTGATAATGGGCTCATCCTTGAAACTTAACAGTCGTGTAAACATGATTGTTAAATCCTGTTTTTTTCAGCTGAAGCGGCTGTCTAAGCTGAGGCCCATACTGTCCAAAAAGGATCTTGAGATAGTGATCCATGCGTTCATAACATCAAGGCTCGATTACTGCAATGTACTTCTGTTTGGAATCAATCAGTCCTCCATTGCACGACTACAACTGGTCCAAAATGCTGCAGCCCGATTTTTAACTGGGTAAATGAGTTAAATACATACAGAGCACATTACACCAGTTTTGGCCTCCCTGCACTCAGAGTCAGAGATTCTTTATTGTCATTCGCACCATATGTGGCACATATGGCGGAGCGAAACTATATACACAGGGTCCCAGTTACATCCAACAATAAAATGTAAGAGAAAAACAATGATAACATCTAAGATGTGAACTAAGAAAAACACCAACTAAAATATAGCAAGCACTAATAGCATAACAACATGACGTCGAACAACAGCACGAACATAGGCACATTCTTTCAACACTTTTCCGGGGGATGTTGTCTGGGCCGGTTGTCTTGTGTGGATTAATCCTCCTGAAGGTACTCCTTAATTCGGCTGAGGTCACGCTGAGATGCTCTTCATGCGGTGGTGAGGTGAGTCTGGTGCTGGGTGGTCTGTTCGGGTCTTCGAAGCATGCATAGAACACTGGCTACCCATTCACCTTTGGATCCAGTTCATGTAGGTTTTAAAATCACTGAACAGTTCTGCCCCATCCTATCTCACTGATCTTCTACAGCCATATGTCCCACCGCACTCTCTGAGGTCAGCAGACCAGATGCTCCTTTCAGTTCCAGAAACCCGTTGTAAGCTCAGAGGTGGCAGGGCTTTCTCTGTTGCAGGTCCAAGACTGTGGAATGAGTTGCCACTGCGTGTTAGACAGGCTCCCACACTCACAGTTTTTAAGTCTCGCCTGAAAACCCACTTTTATTCCCTTGCCTTTGACACGGTGTGATTTGTTTCGATCCTGTCTGTAGTCTACAGTGTTGGCCATTCAGTTATTATCTGCTGCTTTTTATATCTATATTTTTATTTTATGTTTTCCTGCCCGCTGTGCTTGTTTGTTTCTATTGTACAGCACTTTGGTTGGTCTTGTTGCTCTTTTAAGTGCTCTATAAATAAATTGGCATGGTATGGTATAAACACTTGAAAAAACACTATAATGTTTCCAGAGGTTGTTCTCATGTAAACAGGACCTAAACCTGGTCCAGTTTTACCATCTGATTACAGCAGAGACATGGAGCTCCATCCAACAGAGCCAACGAGGCTCCAAGCCCCAACATCTGACCCAGAGGGAGGTGTTCTGGTGACCTACCCTCCTTCAGTGGTGTTGTCCCAGCTGCTGGTCAAGCCCTGGCTGGCAGTGAAGTAAATGGAGCTGGAGCTTGCAGAGTCTGTGCGCTCTCTGTGGACAACATGGTGCCTGCGGCGGATGGGCCGGCTGTCCTCTACACCCTTCCTGAATGTGGAACAAAACCACCATCAGTCAAACAACACAAACTTATGTAAGAAAATGTTGGATTTCATGTTTTATCTTTTATTATTTTTAATCAAGCTTGAAATTTCATGTTATAAAATGTGTGTATGTGTCATTTTTTTAAAGGGTTTTCACTACCTTACAATCATTTAAATGTTAATCAATTACTTTGCTTAAATATAATCTTACATTAGCTAGAGACAATCTTATAAATTCACAATCTTATAAATTCACATTTTGATATAATTAAAAGCGACTCATAGCAGGTAAGATACTGATTAGACTCCAGGGAAGTGTCCCTGAGTATGGACTCACACACACACGCTCTCACACACACACACTGACTGATTAACATATATAGAGAACTAGAACACATTTCTTTAATTTAGACTTAAGATAGTTTGACTAAGTAAAATTAGTATCATAATAACAATTAGCAGGTAACCATACAACCATTATTTGATGAGGGGCCAGTTTAGAGGAATACAGGCTTAATCTTCATAGTAAAATACCAGAGAGTCTTTGTTAGAGGGGGGCAGGGTGACTTCAGCTAACTGAAACACGAGTATAAGCCAGAGAGATCAATCAAAACCACACAGACATGAGTTAGTTAATAATTAATAGTTATTAATTATTCCTAGAAAGAAACTAACTTTAGAACAGAATCATTTGGTATCACTAAGGTATAATTAGGTTAAAATGAAACAGAGCTAAAACAAAGAACCGATTTCAGTAAATCATAAAAACTCCTCTTATCTAAAGAATGTCGAAAGTCCCTGACAGAGCAGAGTAACCATGGCGACCTTTTAGTCTAAACCAATCAGAGGAAGGGCCTGCTGAAATCTGTGATAAGATCCAGGGACAGGCTGCAAAACTTTGCATTTGCTTGGTGACTCGTCTGCAGAAGGTCGGTTCGGTAAATGCCCATTGTATGCATACAATTGTACTTTGTTTAAATGTTCTCTGAATACTTGTAATCCGTTGTCAAATAAATCTTTTGAACTAATGTGGCCGTCTCAGCTGTTTTGAACACGACCGTGGCCTCTCAACCACAACAGATGGTGACCCATGCCGACGTGCAGCGGGACGCAGCCTCGTCTGGATTGGATCGAGTGGTGCGGTACTCCCACAGAGAGAACTGGGCCCATTTTTAAAAAAAAGTAAGCGGATTTTACCTAAGTTGGCCGTAAGGCTCGAAAATTTCCGCCATTCGGCCGTAAAACAAATTATATGTTCATCTGTGGGTTTTCGTACCATCTCCGGAATAAAGATGGTTGATAAGCTAATTTACGGTAATTAGTGATACTTCTGACAAACGGATTACGTGTAGTCAGACGTTGGGTGTTGAACGCAGCGTGCGTTCGCGTGAGTGTACTTTGCACGGCTTAGTTTAACATTTAAGTGTATTTTGGATGTAGTGAACTAAGCCTCAGGTCAAAATCTGACCCTGAGGACCTTCATGGGACAGAAACTGTTATTTCATTGATTTGAGTCCAGAAATACAAATTATCTCATCCAGAGACTTTCTAAGTGTGTCTTGCACTAATCAATTGAAAGAACACTCTTTTTTATTGTCATTACTATTTTTACAATATCTTGATAATCAAAGTGTGTTTAGTTCAAACCATTTTAAATATTGAAGTGAACTACTCATTTTAAATCAACTGTGAAACAGTATTAATGATTTTTAATCCTCATTCAAAGTAGAAATCAAGTTAATGTCTGTTACAGAGTAATTGTGCATTTTTTGATCTTCTGTCTGAAATGAGAAAGAGTGATGTCGGTCAAAAGTCAGAGAACGGTCAAAAACATGTTTATCGGAACGAAATGTCATGTTTAACTCTCTCAGATAGATAGAGGGAAACTAGCTCCTAAATGTCTGTCTGTTTCAAAACATCTTTCTGTTATATTTTTAAACATCTACGCTGTCTCCTTGACATGTAGTGACCCTCTGACGTCACTAAAAACCACACCCCGGTTGGTTCGTTCAACCAATCAGGAAGTTCCCAGAAGGAACCGGAAGTGACCTCTTTAAAAGGGTCGACACTTCCTAGTTCCAGAGAGAACAACGTTCCAGTGCAGAACAAGAGTTCCAGGGAGAATCTCGAACCAGAAGTTCCTGAACGAGAGAAGTTCAGAAGAACAGAAGTTCGAACAGTTTCTAATGGAGTGACAAGAGTCCGTCGATGCCACGACGTCTCGCTGTGGCTCTACCCGACGAACGCTCTGAACAATGAGGAAGTTTGTTCTGTGATGATCTCACGACTCCTGAAGTCACAGCTGTTCTTACGGAGATGCTGAAAGGTGGCTTGAAATGAAACTTTACGCCGGAACTGAAATATCTTCAGAAAGGTAAAAGAGTCGATCTTCAACTGCCAGTGTACCGTAAAGGAGCGTGCTGTTCTGGTTATACAGACACTTTTTCCTCATCCATCTCTCTCCATTTAAACTTAATTTTCCCATCTTTAAACTTCTATCTTGCCAGTAATTAGGTGCAGATATCTTCAGAAATG